AGTACATAATCATATAGCTACAAATAATGATACAAATGTCCAAATATACAAATGATCGCAACCTGAGAAGAAAATAGAACAAAAATACTTCGTTAGTTTCCAATGATTCCAGTGGATAGCGCAATATTTGTGCCTTCAGGGTATCGTTGATGGTTCTAGAAATGTTTAGTTAATGATATCCTACTTAAATCATTATTTTCATTCTTCAGAAGAACTTTTGATCTACACCGGGAAATTGAAATTGAGCTTTTAACAAATTGTTTCAAATACACAAGTATATAACACTTCGAACAACACTCGCGCAATCTGTGAATAAAAATCACTTTCATGACTGGTGATTTCAATGAAGAGCATAATAATATATACGCCTTTAGGGATTCTTGGTTCTAGAATTTTTTAAGTAATGATATATCCTACTCTCATTATTTTCATTCATCACAATTACTTTTGATTTACCAAAAAAAATAAGCTTTAATTTTAAAACTTCGAAACAGTTTTCTTTTTTCTTGAGAAGAATGTCCTAGCACATGCAAAGCACATAGCATTACTTCAACAAATGGTCAACATCGCTGAATCCACCCCTATGAGAATCAAAGTCAATTGACGCTTATCTTACATGATACACGAGACGATTTGAACTGTTAATGCTGGTAAAGCATATTATGGACCAATGAGCATAGTTATTCAGAACTTCCACTAAACCCTTAACCTTAAGTACATGATTATTTTATTGTTATGCCAAAGTACATTTTTTAAATATTTCTCCACAAACGTTTACGCTCCTCCTTTAAGGTTGTGCTTAATTACATGGGCTTCCAAAGGAAGACCATGTCTTAAATTACCGACGTTTTTCGTCTGTGGTATGCTTCAAATTATACCCGGGACCTTTTCATTTTTGACATCTATTGTCTTACTGTCATTCATGTTTCTAAGCAACGATTCAAASGTCGCCTCGTGCTTCTTCGGACCTTCGTATAGCCGGCAAAGTTGATCGAACATGTCGAACGCTAGATTCTTTTACAAATCCACACACCATTCACGGCATAGCCACACGTGAATTAGTATCTATCAAACATTAGCTTACCAAAAGCAAACTTATACTAGTACCGGTTCTACAATCACCAAGGACTTATCTAAGACATGTCAAAAGATTTATACTGAGGAAAAACAGAGGTTTGGAAGTATTTTAAGCGAAGAACATGAAAGATTATCGATCTGTGTTAATACAGCCAAAGATGCGACTCTAACTGTAACGGCTCGTCAGACATAAATTACTTCTTTCACAATATTATCAAATTCTACTAAGTACATTGCTTGTTTGATTATTTTTCATTAAAGAAAATCTTTTTTTGCTGTTGTCTTAGTAAAATTAATTTCATTGGGTTCAATATCATTTACTGATTGGGATAAACCACAGGAAGCCCATGTAAACGTTCGCTGATCGTCTAGTTACAATTTAGAAACTAATCTCGCTTCCTTTACCGATCAAGATACATGCTTGTTGTTCTTGTTCTTGTTGTGTTAGCGCTAATCACACCACTGTATGCATTGGAAAGGATTAATGCATCTTGTTTTTTTGTATATTATTTCATATAATTGTGGAATTCAGTTAGGAATAATACCACGTCTAAAAAATGAATAACACTTCACGATCCACTTTAAAGCACTCDCCCCTTGTCAATGAACAACACTTAGAGTCTTTTTCACGGCTGGCGACTGCAATAAATGAATGCGCTTAAGATATAACTAATGTTAGCTTATAAGCTAATAATCTCCCTAGCCGTCATCGCATTTAATATATCACAATTACTTTAAGTACGTTTATCAATCAGGATCGAGGTACTTTTGAAAGAACTTTGAAGTATTATCTGTATTATTCTGGTTAAAGCTCACAGTGAAACATATTTCCATGGCGTGCCGTTACGCATCAGCACTTTTGAAAACACTTTTATACTAAGTTTCTTTGTTAGTAATTTACAATAAAGAAAAAAAGCAATTTTGGGTACTATTGCATTGCTTTACTCGATCGATACTACTCTACATTATCATTGTATTCTATTTGAATATGAAACAACATAATATTCATTGAATTTATGAACTATGTAATGTCTTTTTTTTAAGAATGTAGTATAGCACTTCATGGTTACCGTAAATAGACACCATTAGTAGATGAAAAACACTTATCGTTGTTATGCCCTGGTGATTGCAGTGAATAGATTTATTATATGTACTTGGATAGGGTATTATGACTATTTTTAGATTTTATTCTTATCAGAAAAATAACGTCTTATAAATATAAAAATATTCCACAGCTGATTTTAAAACTTTAATTCACCACGCTCGAAAAGTTTAATTCAAAAATGAGAGTTTAAACTTGACGGCGTTATATAAAACATCAACTTTTCTATGTTAAGTGATACTAAAAATTCATTTGTTTTCGTGCGGTTAAACATCAACACTTGCAAATACTTGAAATAAAGTGTCTCAATAGCTTATATAGTAAAAACGTTTTTTAGCCAACTATCATAAAACTAACGTTCTTATAGCAGTACTCACTACTATATATGGAACGAAGCGCATTGAAGAAATATATTAGATAAATGAGTGAAGAAATATATTAGATAAATGAGTGATTTTTTTTTTATTTCATGAAACCTTTAATGTCATGACCAACTCATATAATGTTTTTTTCGTATAATGTCATGTCCAACTTATATGATGTTTTGTTCGTATAATGTCCTATCAACCTCATATAATGCCGTTTTGGTAGTGGTGTCCATGGCACATCATAATGCCGTATCTACATCGTATATTGCTATTTGCACCCTATAATGCCGTATTTACCTCGCATAATCCCCTAGTCCCTTGTCATATTGTCGTATCAACCTAGTATAATGCCGTATCGACCTAATATAACAAGAAATGCACCGCATATGATGCTTATTGGCAGCGAGCCATACAAACACTCTCCTCAGATAAATCGTTGACTTGGTCATTAATGTCATCAATATTGTTGCTAGCATATGTAAGGCTGGTATCATCAGCATACATTCTAGGGATTGAGTTTGACAAACAATGATGAAGATCATTAATATAAAGAAGGAAAAGAAGCGGCCCCAAAATGGTTCCCTGTGGCACACCGCAAGTGATGCTCAACTCCTCAGATTGAAAACCATTGACAGAGCACACCTGGGAGTGTTTTTTTAGGTACGAAGAAAACTATTTCAGCTCCACTCCTTTAATTCAATAATACTGAAGCTTAGAAAGCAAGATATCATGGTCAACCGTATCAAAGGCCTTTTTAAGATCTAGAAAAACTACAGAATTGTCGACCAGTCCTTTTTCGATATTCCATGACCAACTATCAGTAGCTTCTAGTAGAGCTGTAACAGTTGAATGGAGCGAGCGAAAGCCTGATTAATGTTGCGACAACAGTTTGTTGTTAATGAGATTGAGATACTTATATAATTGAATATAGACTACTCGTTCAATCAATTTCGCTATTATCTGAGTAACTAGTGAAATTGGGCGATAACTAGAGGGATCATTCCGTTCCTCTAATTTTTTGTAAAGTGATGTAACTCTTGCTTATTTCCATTCAACTTGAAAAACGCCCGGAGTTATGAACTCATTTAAAAACTCGAGTCAGTAACTCAGAAATCAAATCCGGACAAACTTTAAGAAGACGGGCAGGAAATGTTGTCGAGACCTTTGGCTTTAGATGTATTTAGTTCCGACAGTAACTGTTGAACATCAGAAGGACTGATCTCTTCGAATGAACACTTCTCAGCTCAAGCAAAAATCACTGTTTCTTCACAATCGTGGTTTATACTCTCATATAGCTTGTGCCAATACCTCTAAAACAAAAATCTCATCATATAATTGTGGAATAACACAATTATATGTCATACTCTAGAAAATCAATAACACTTCAAGATCTCCATTAAAGCACTCGCCCCTTCTTTGTGTCAATGAATAACACTTTTTCACGCTTGTTGATTGCAATCAATAACTTGCTTAAGGTGTAATGGATATAGTGTTATATGATTTGAGATGACAAAGTTGATAATCTCCTAATGTATTACTTTATCAAAGTCACCTTTTGTGCTTTATTCCAGGATCGAGGTACTTTGAAACGAGCTTTAAAGCATAATCTGTTATTCAAGTCAACTCACACTGAAAAGTATTTCCATTGCGTGCATTATACACATCAGTACTTTTGAAAACACTTCCTTGTTAGTAATTTACAATTAAGAAATAGAGCCTTTGTGGGGACTGTTGCTTTGCTTGATGACGACTTTCTTACCGTATCATTGTATTTTATTTGATAATGAAACGCTTATTTATGTTTATTGAATTTACGAACTATGCAACTGTCTTAAAGCAGGTTAAAGAATGTAGGGAACTTCATGCTTACCTTAAATAGACACTGTTAGTGGATGAATAACACTTATCGGTTTTATGGCTAGTGATTGAAATGAATAGTTTTAAAATATTTACCTTGGTTATATATAGAACTATCAATATTTTTAGATTTTGATAATGAACTTAGCCTAATAATAACTTATGAGTATATCATATCTGCTTTTCAAACTTTGATTCACCCGGCTCGAAAAGTTTAAATCAAAAATGGAGATTCAAACTTGACAACGGTTAAGAAATGTATTTGTTTTTTAATTTCGGAAAGATACTGAAAATGATTTCTTTGTGTGCCGTTAAACATCAGCATTTTCAAACACTTGAAATACCGTCTATCAGAAGTGTTTAGTCAAAAAATATTTTAGACAACTCTGTTACATTATTAATTACTAACGTACGTGGGCCTTTGCTAACTACTATATGGAACGAAGCATATTGAAGAAAAAGAGAGAAATGTGTGACAATTTTTTGTTTCATGAAACCATCATTATTTAATCTGCCATCATCAGGTGATATAAGCGCTTCTATGAACGCACGATTAGCCAAATTTATCGTTGAATTATTCATGTTTGACTGTAAAGGAAGGAGTTGTTTCCACGTATATCAGTCAGTTTGGGGACCACGAACGAATTGACATCAAGATGAAGTACAGTCTTCTTTTGCTGCTTGTTTTTGGCTTTGTTGCCTTCACCTCTGCTGCTCCTGCCAATGAAGAGGAGAACCAAGACGAGCCTGATCAAAAGGACAACGATGAAGAAGATCCTGGTACGTAACATTACCTCATATTACTATTCTTTAAAATGTATTGAATTTAATTTACCTTTTTTCCCTTTTTGCAGAGGAATCCAAAAATGATGTGGCCAAAGTTGAAAACGACGAGGATGAAAATTCCCTGAGTGGTAAGCCTTTATTATCAATGCGTATTTTCTTGAGGTACTATAAGACGAGGGAGAAATACATTCTTCCATGTAGAAGGGTCTGTTTTATGACAGATCACTGGGTCAGGCCACTGATGTTCATATACTGCAGTTCTCGTATGTAAATAAGAACTAAGAAACTATTCAAATACTAAACTGAATCTTATTTTTACCGTCGAGTTTGAAGATTTGCCCCCGGCGTTACTTGCATGACCCTATATTCCATAAATCTACTTCAACTTGGGCGGGCATTAATTTGGTCATTAATGTGTTTTTGTAAAAACATCATAGTCCTCGAAACTATTTAGTTATAGTGACTAACGCTTTAACCAATAGTGATTGTATTTTAACTCTTTGTCAATCTATCCTTTTTTTGCACTTTGCGAAGAGATTTGTGAGCCATCTATCAAAGGTATCCTTGTGCCTTACTCTGATTTTTCTTTGCAGAAGAATCCGAAAATGAAATGGGCGAAGCTGAGAAAGATGASGCAGAAAAACCACGAAGAGGTAAGTATTAATAATGCCATTTAGGATTTATTTACTCTTATGTATTTAAGGACTGTGCAATACCAATTGGACAGAGGGAGCTCTAAGATAAAGGGAAGGTGGATGTGTGTCAAATGCTAAATTCAAGTTTATTGTGGGGATTACAAGTTATGAATCTCATAGTTTCCAAGTTTCATAGACAGATCCAGCCTTTGTGCCTAGATAATCCAATCGCATACAGCAAGATACGTTTAACGTTGTTCTTAATTCCACTGAGAAAACTAGAACAATGCAAAGACCTATATCATTCCAAATGCTAAATATGCGAACACAATATTAGCCCATAACTAAGTGTATATTGATTGAATAGATCCAATTTTTTGGCGTCGTCGTCGTCGTCGTTATCACTGCTACAGACGCTGTTACTGGGCTAGATGCCGACGTTGTCGTCGTAAATGCCGTCATTATAAATATGGATTCCATTGCTGCACTTATTGTCGTTATTATAGATGCAGACGTTGCCGCCGTATATGCCGCCGCGGATAAAGGGCGTGACTGATTTTACGGAAAGATGCCACCCAAAAAAAAGACATCGAGACGTGATAACATATATTMGGGCTTAAAAAATAAAACGCTTCAGCTAAAACAACACAAGACTAAAGACCAACTCCATTATTGGATTTTCGTTGCTTATTTTCTTTAGCAATCGTTACGGGAAAAAAGTAACGATGTGGACAGGGGTTAAAACACATCTAGCTTGGTAAGGGGTTTCCTTTATTTGAAATGAGTAGTTTGTAAACCATTTAATACTAAAGACAAGTATGGCATTATTGTAATTAACAAGCTGTAGTAAATTTCGGAAATAAAGCATTTGAAAATCAAACAATATCTTTATGTATATGCTTTGAGTATGATCCATTGATTTAACAGACCTATTTCGTGATGATTTAACCCACACTCATCATTCAGTGTACAATTTACAATAGGATTCACTAATCGGGTATCATAAAAGTGTGTCTTTATTTCTGAAGTGGATTGTACTTGCAAGTTCATTGAGTTTCTGATTAAGTGATACTTAAAAAACGAGGAGTGTTTTATCGTGAGATATAAACATTTACATCCACGATAAAGCACGAACTACGAGAAGCTATTACTGTAAATCGCATAAGAGCTGATTCGGACCCCAAAAAGGGACCAAATCGGTGAGTAAAATACGGCACCCTCTTTTAGGGCTGATTCAGCCCCTTAAATTAAGGGACATTTTAGCTCCTTCTAAAAGGATCAATTTGGCTCTGAAAATGGGTTAGAACGACCCCTTTGTGATACTGATTTTGAAACTTGGGGTACTGAAACAGTTTTGGGAAAGGCTATTTTGGCTCTGTGACACTTGACTGTTTTAGCTATAGCAACTAGGGTCAAATGGTATGTGTAGCCATTGTAGTTCACTGAAAGGAGCCAATATGATCCTAACATTTTGGGTATTTTAGTCTTCAAAAATAGAGTCAAAATGCCATGGGTAGCCAATTTAGACCCCTAATGTTGATCTAATATGACTGTTTTAGTAACAGGGCCAAAAAAACTGATATGTGTAGCCAATCTTGTTCCCTAAAATGATCTGATATTACTTTTTAAAAGAAGCTATCCTAGCTTTATTGATACAGTAGGTCCAACTCAATTTCATGAAAATCCATGGCTGGAGTTTGATAACAATACAATTTACAACACATAATTTTGGTCAAATCAATTTTTTTGTCTAATAACTATTACAAACTTATTTTTGATAATCTTGTTGCCTTGATCTGTTCTGAGATAACATTACACAACATATATGTTAATGAAGGATAAATATCTTACTGCTATAAAAATGATATTAAAAGCAGAAAAATTCAAGAAATGACACTGAAGACTTTTGGTCTTATACACAACTGTTGCACCTACAGTAATGCTCTCTGTATGCTACTATTTTTAGTCTCTAATGCTGAAGAACTTCAATGAAGAAATACACGAAATTACACAAAATTACGCAAAAGATAAATTCTTTTGAAAATTCTTTTCAAATTATAAGTCAAGTAAACATTTAAACACTGAAGTCCAGTCCATAACCAAGCAATACATATGTAAAGATGCGATACCGAGACCTGGAGCCTCGCACACATCATGTATACACCTCAGTAACAATAGAACTTCAATGAAAAAAAAATGATTACACCAAAATATAAATTCCTTTGAAATAGCAATTGTAAGAAAGCATCTCTCATGCATGCACATGTAACCTCGAATTTAATCAAGTAAGCATTTATTAAGAGCGACTGTCCAGAAAAATCGAGCAAAATCGAAAATATCCGGCCACAATGAAAATTTTAAATTCCTTGAAACTCAGATCCTGGACACCTTTCTGTGAGTTTTTGAGCAAAGATCAAGATACAATCGCTTTTATTGTTTGAAAGTGTCTAATGTACTAGAAATTACTTCATTTAATTCGATCGACGATATATTTGGTTGACTTCGATGTTTGAGAAAAAATTTCACAGAAAGGGGTCCAGGATCTGAGTTTCAAGGAATTTGAATTTTTCACTGTGGCCGGACTATGCTCGATATTTCTGGACAGTCGCTCTTAAACACTGAAGCCCAGTCCATAATCAAGCAATCCATATGTCTTGATATGTAAAGATGCAATACCGAGACCTGTTTTTAATGTTCTAGAAATTTGCTAGAGGCAATGATATCATATTCTCATGATTTTCATTTACTGATCTGAAGTACTTTTGATTTACCAGAAAAATGAGCTTTGAAACTTTGAAACAACTGTCTCTTACTTTGAATCACACAAAAGATTCTAGAGCTTTCCTTTCATCACCGTTATACATCAGCACTTTTGAAAACACTTTATAATTAAAAGGGGTGTCAGTAATCTTCCAATAAAGAAACTAAGGTATCATCACTTTACTCGACTTGGTACTGCATTACATTAGAATTGATTATCAATTCCATATTGAAACAATAATAACGAATGATAAAACTCCATTTCATGATACAGAG